AGAGAGAGAGAGAGAGAGCGGGAGTTGTGGCAGAGTCAGAGATAGACTTCCTATGAAAGTTTATTGCCCACATTTTCACAGATAAGATCATTTCAAAAAAGCAAAAGGCAAAAAATCAAAAACGAAAAATAAGGAAAAAAAAGAAAGAAAAAGGAATCCACCCAAAAAAGGAAGAGAGGAAAACCGTATTACACACGGGCTCACTCAAACTCAAAGGGGCTTCAACTTCAACTTCAACTCTTCCAAACTACACACCAGCGCAACCAGCCGAACCGGCACATCAATCACACCAGACCAGCGCCTGCCTCTCCGGTCACTCTCATGAGCGGGCCACCGCGGTGCCTGGCCTGGCGGGAGAGGCAACTGTCCTAACGGTGGGCGGACTTTAACACCCAGTGGGCGGGACTTAACACGCAGAGGCGTCGGGGTGCTGATTGACAGCTGCCAGCCAGCAAGTGGGGGTCGCTTATCGGGATGATCACCGAAGTCGTGTGGACTTCTCAAGCTTTATCGGAACACTGGTCGAGAGTCGGAGGCGTCGGGGTTTAGTCAACAAACACTTCTGGAATACGAGGACACGCAGAGATACTAAACCGCCATCGCCATGGTTCCTTAGTGCGCTCATCGACGATGCTACTGCTGCTACACTTGGCCTTGTGAAACCTCGAGTGGTTCGGTTAGAGGGTTTTCCTTCTCCTTGTTCTTGTTCTTGTTCTTCTTTTCGCTGTGTGTGATACGATATCATTATAGTATTCAGAGACCGTGTGGGACTGTGTAGTGTAGTGTAGTGTAGTGTAGTGTAGTGCAGAGAGTTTTCAGTTTGTTATTATTACCTTCCTACTACTACGCACTACTACTGACTCGGACTGCTTCCAAACTGAGGTTCTTCTCTTTAGGAGGATGGCCACGACGCTAATCGGGGTGAGTAATAAAGATAATGATAATGATAATGATAGTAACAGTAATAACAAGTTATATAGCAACAATAAGAATTGATTTGTATCGTTGCCAACATAGTATTGATTATCATGGACTGCAAACTGGGGTGAGCTGAAATCTCGCTATTTCAGCTTTAGCATCGAACTGTCTGAGCAAGAAAGGTTTCCGAGAAAGTTATTTTGTGTTTCCTTTTCTTAGATGAGTATGACACAGCAGATTTTCGACGTACGACAATTAATAGCACCAACCTTCCTAGAGACTGGTAGATAATTATTGAATTTAAAGAGCAAGGGG